TATTTTAAAAAAAAAAGCTACAAGAGAAATGAAGCAAAGCAATGTCTTCCATGTATATGAATATATGTGGGTATTTTCGAAGCTAGATGTCGGTCTCACCTTCTATTTCATCATTTGTTTACTTAAAAAAAATAAAAACATTTTTTTTTTAAGTTTCTGTTTTTGAAGCACTTGCTTATCCTCTAGTGACACCTGCCAAAACCAAGAATTGGTTAAGGTTTTCTTTATCTATTTGCATGCGAAAGATTTATTTTACCCACAAACTATGGATTATTATCCATAAGAGGTACCAAAATGGTCTACTTGTGATATACACGAATTGATGTAGGTTTTCTGTAAACTGATGAGAAATGTGCATCAATATAATTATTTTGTTTTTATCCTTCTCCTGGAAGCATGATGGTAGATCTAAGAAATAAATGATTCTAACTTGTTTGAGAAAATCTGGCATTGGGCAAAAATAAACAGAATTTTACGTAATGATATGTCAGATACAGTTTAAGGTGATTGAAAAACCCTTTGATAATGGGAGAGAGTGTCTATTGATGTCTGGGGTTTTTTCTGAGCCATATTTTAGCTTGTAGAATTGTGGTACGAAGCCCTGGTAGCTTAAATTGCTTTATAAATGCAAAAAAAAGTTCTTAAAATGTTTTTTTTTACATTTAAAAATGTAAGGAAATATATATAATTTATAATTCTACTCAATATTTACTGTATTCTTTTATATATCTTTGAACATTTGTGGCTCTGTCTTTTCTACATAAAGAGTACTCAAAATGTTCCAAATATTTGCCTCAATTGTAGGAAATGTATATATTTTTTATTATGAACAACCAAATGTTAAATACTGTAATGGGGAAAAATGATGAGTAACATATGGTTTTCCAAAGAGTGTCGTACTAATCCAGAATTCCCCAGCGAGGCTAAAGCATTGCCATAAAGTATTTCAATCAGTAAATAATTCTTATAGTTTAGAACTTTTAATGACTACAAAAACTACCAGTCTTGGAAAACAAAAATCTTTCTGTACAGAACCCCCTGTTATGTTGAACAAATATTTAAAATAAAATATACCTTTTTTAAGATACCTAGTATGAAAGTTCTGCATTGTACTTTCAACCACCATGATTTCGCATAATGCCATAAAACTCTGTATCAGTTAAGAAAGTTTAGGTTAGTTATATGTGGCTTACATAATCAAACAAGCAGTGCTGTAATAAATATGTGCATTCAGTTTCAAACAAATTAATTTTGGGATTTATTTATTTATGGGTTGTCTGAAATCCTGAACTCTAAATCAATCTATATGACGGTGTCACTAAACAAACAAAACAGACAATTAACAAGCCATTTCGGAGATGATTCAGAGTCCTGTCCATGACGGAAAAAAAACCCCATAGGTGATTGATGAGAAAAAATGATGATTGATATTTATGGGACAGTCGCTAAATGTATCCTCCATCGGTTACTTCCTACTTGCTCTGTAAATGGTGGGAAAATGCAGTTTGTGCAGTGTACTGCAATATATATATATATATAAATATATATATATATATATATATGAAATTTTCATGTCCTTATAGTTTGCCTGAATCGATTTTGTTGAATTATTAACGTGGATGAAATTCAGCTGAACCATTAAGACATCTGAAGACATTTTGGACAACCCAAGCTAGGAGAAGGTGAGTTAGTTAGGTATGAGGAGGGAAAGCTGTTAACAGTTTAATTTTGGAAGTGAGTTTTCAGTGATTTAAATGTGGGGATCAGGCCCTTTATGCCATTATATCCTGCTGACAGCAACTGAGCCACCTCCGAAACATTTTAGTATAGATAGTTTTAGTGTATCTCATCAATAAATTGTGAAAGCAAGGGCAGCAAGTCTATTTCCATGCAATAGCAATTCGACATGGGAACTGAAATATATTGAAGGAGGCATCAGGTGTAGTAAACAAGTGTAAAGGGACATTGGGAAACCATGTCTAAAAAGTCACATGTTTAATAAGGATTGTATTTCAACACATGTCCACCAGATGTGTAGTATAGTGCCTTCCTGATTCCCACATTTCCTGCCCTTTATGGAGAAGAGCAGATATATTTTGTAAAGTCTGCTATTGGTACACTAACTTTCTATGATTCAATATAAGAATAGCATTTGATCAATTTAGACAAAGCCTTATGAGCTCTTGTCAACACATGGTCTGAGAAAGCCAGGGAGCCTCTTCCTCCCAGTGTCTTCAATCAGGAAATTACTTCTCAGGTAACAGTTCCATCAATGCTCTAGCCTATAGTATATTGAGAGAGCATTATCTTTAGAGAGTTAATTTTACACATGCGGGAGAGATTGCCATGCTTCCATTTTTGGAGCTCCAGTTTACACATATGTAAGAGTGGAGTATAATATTTTTTCAGTATAGTATCAATCCCTGCGTATATCTTAACATCCAAATATGAAATATGGACAGTTCTCCAGTTGATTTGGTATTTTGTTTCTAAAGTTTGGATTACTATATTTTGCATTCTTACCAAAAGATCCAGAATTTTAGTTTGGTTGAGTTCATAATAGGATATATTCCCATAATCTTCCAATAGGGAAAGAAAATGGAGCAGTAATCTGTCCATGGCTGTCAATTAATGCAAACAAGGATAAACACGACTCTGTCCATGCTTTTTTTAAGAGCCAAAGTATAAATAACAGTGGTGATAGTGAGTACCTCTGCCTTGTGCCATTTGTTATATGAAATGGGGTTGATAGGAACCTGGCATGAGAAACTCATGCTGCTGGGGCATTATACAGAGCCATTACCCCTTAATAAAAATTATTGACAAGCACCTGTAGCATATAAGATCACTTTAAGCTAGTGCTAGGAAAAGGCCTCCAGTCTCATGGGATTGTACTCTTGACAGAATATTCAGTATTTTTCTAGAGTTGTTAGGGCCTTGGCGGGGTTTGACAAACCCAGATTGAACATTATGAACAACCTTAGGCATGATTGAAGCCAGCTTATTGTGGATAGGTTTGGCATATAGTTTAACATAGCAGTGTTTAGCAATGAAATATGTGCTGATAGCATTTCTGGAAGTAGTTCTCCCCCACTCCGCATCTGTGGTTAGATAGCAAAACTATCCAGGAAAGTATCCCCAAGATAGTTTGGTATTACTTATCAAAGAGGCCATCTGGGCCTGGCAAATTATGCAAAAGTATTTTACAAATTAATTAGTGGATTTCATATAGCTGAAATAGCTGGATTAGTTGGTCTATGTCTGCTGTTAGCTGAGAGAGGTTTAGAAAATCTGCTAAGTTTTCTGTGACTGTTGAGGACTGAGGAGGGTTTTAGAGCCATGGGTTAATCTTTTAGGTTATATAACTTGCTATAATACTGTGGAAATTCATTCATAATTTGTTGAGGATCCAGAATTGTATCCCTCCCTGCGGTGTAAAGAGGCAATTCTGGAGGTGACCTCTATTGATCTAAGCTATAATGCCAACACTGCAACTGCTTGATTGCCTTGAGCAAGAGAATAGTTTAAAATAGTTTAATGTCCCAAAGCTGGGATTCCAGTGATAAAAGTCACGATTGAGATGTAGAGGAGGGCTGGAATTTATTACAGTGTGTCAGATTAATTAGTTCTTGCATGATTGCAGAATACTTCCATTGTCTCTTTTTTTTAGCATAGCTTGCCTATTTGATAAACACAATTGGGCATGGTCTGACCAGGGGAACAAGCCAATCTGCATCTAGCCAATTTTGGGAAGAGTACTACTATAAACCAAAAACATGTCAGTTCTAGAACAGTTATAAACAGTTATAAACCGTACATTGGTATGTATAATCACTTTCTGTTCAAGATGAGTTGTGTGTTCATCTTTCGCCTGTATGTCCATCTGGACATCTGATGCCAGCTTTGCAAACTTTGCTTGTAGCAAGGTTTTCAGTGCTTTCAACAACCTTTGAATAGAGGAGTCCATCTCTAGAAGAGGTGAGAGCACAAATATTGAAGTAATGTCGCTCTTGTCTAAGTACCAAGCTGGTGATGGTGGCTTGTCAGAGCCATCTTAGATCATCAATTTATCAGTTTTGGTTTAGAATTTTTGCTGGATTTGTTCATCACCTCCTTCAGGAGGGACTAAGATATCTAAGATATAAGTTTAAGGCCACTTCTTCTGAGAACTTTGGTTTCAGGCACCCAACTCCATATGCTGTCAGGCCATGCCCCTGTGATTTTCTTTCAGAAATGGAAACTGAGTAAGAGTCTAATGGAGCAGGGAAGGGATTTCCAAAGGAACGATGAAGCCCTAAGAAAGCCTTGAGACAAGGGCAAAAGTCAAAGAGCGAGACAGAGGATAGACACAAGTCTTCAGCAGAGCAGAGGGGCCTGGATGGGACATACTTGTGTTTTAGTGAGGATAAGTAGTTAAGAAAAGAGATTCGTAAGCAAGGACCATAATATTAATTCATCCCTATATCTAACGGGATGCCAATGTAAGGATTAATAGGGGAGGGGAGGCATGGAAGTCTAGTAGCGTAATTTATTATATAATTTAGAAGGGTAAGGTGGGTAGCATTTTGTATTATAAATATTTTCATAAATTAAAAAAATAAAATAAAATCATGTCAGTATAGTAAAAGCACTGTAATTGTTGGATGTGTTTTCTTGTTGTCATACTTGGTGTCAAACCATGATGGATGTTGTTACTGAAGAAGAATTATAGCACAAAAATGATTCTATATTCCTATGTATATATCTTTCCACAGGTGTTGATGTGAGTTAAAGGTGGGGAGATCAGACAAAACACTACAAATCCCATTCAAACTGGACACCATGCTTTTGGACTCTTCTTGCCCCCTTCCCCAAAAATTTGCCGTTTAGCATGTACAGTTTTAAATACCCTTTGGGGTGCCCAGTGCATAGACTAGGTACCACCAAGCCTGGGATAGGAAATCCTGTTCAGTGACCCTGCAGCTGAACCTGGGGAACAATAAATGGCCCAGTTCCTAATTTTCCTGCTTCCACAATCACTAGCTAAATGTGACATCATGCATATATATATATATATATATATATATATATATATATATATATATATGCATGATGTCACATTTAGTTAGTGTTCATGAAAGCAATAAAGTGTATCTTTGTATCCAGAGACTTGGCTCCATCTTTGCATGCTGGACAAAAGGGGGAGACTTGCGTCTGCTATTTTCAGCAGTTAGGTGGAAGCCGGCATAATAAAGCCATTTAAGCTCACATAAAATTCTGGAATTTATACAAAAGACATGAGGGAAGCTAAGTTTTACTTCATTTAATAGATTTCATTAGCTGTCAATTTGCAACGGAAAATTAAATCAATCCAACTGGAGAGAATGGGTTCAGAAGGGGTTAACTAGATGCACTATTTTGGAATTCTGTGATAGACTTTAAACAAGTCCAAGAATTTTCCGTGTTATTCATACACCTGATTATATTCAAGGATCCACCTTTTCATCAGTAATGCAATTTCTTCCATCATTCATCAGCAAATATAGCACTTTTCCAATATGTTTTTTAGCAATATAAATAAAAAGGTATTGTTGACTTTGAAAGTTGCACAAAGGGCACAGCACTTAATATTGTAAGTAAATCTATTATGTGAGGCTAGTGAACAGCATTATTTTATTTGCAGCTCCTGTCGAAAACTAATATAACACATTTAGTGGGAAGTGTAAAAGTAAAGGGTAAATATTATTACCTATTTCCTGCATCCTGTAAATGGTGGTGTTAGACTTGGCCAGAGAACTTGTCAGACCCTGAAAGCAATATTACCAACATTAGATTATAGACTTATTGCTGCCAAAAGTTCTGTATATTTCAAGCCAATAGTATTATGTGCACCATGTTGTAGATAATTATGTGCAAATTGATATCTGAGTGCGAAATCTGACTCGGAAAATGATTCATTAAATGGTTTACTGTTTTAAAAGTGACTTCAAATTGATAAGTGGATTAAAATAAAAAGAAAATAGAAATAAAATCAAATAAAAATGGTTTGTTCATTAAGTGCCATTTTTTTATTTAAGTTTTTAGACTGAGATACGAATAATAATCATGAAGATGTTACTTCAGTACTCAATACGGAACTCTTCATATCTTCATGATCATTATTTTTGTCATGTACATATATATATATATATATGAGTGAGCTATGGAGAAAGAGAGAGAGAGAGAGAGAAAGAGAGAAGGAAAGAGAGAGATTGGAAGCAGCAGTAGTTTATTTATAAAATCAAATAGATTTTTTTCAAAAATGAAAGGGAATTGTGAATGGGCCCTTTGTGATCCATCTGCCCATTTCACCATTTAATTGTTTTTGAAAAGGTAATTTTTCCATGTAAATGACCTCTGCTGCCACTAGGACACAGGTTTTTTTATTTTTTTTAACTAAAGGACAGTAACTGACACTATAGACTAGATTTGTTGGACTGCTTTGTTTTTGTCAGGGTGGAAGAAGTGAGTGTGTGGACAATAGCCCACTGATTTATTCCTGTAATTTTTTGATTTATAAAAGTAAAAAATATTACAATCAATCATTATATAGTTCTTTTACTTCCTATGCTTTTGTTAACCAGATACACAAGTTACATTTTTTAAACTCAGAAATATCATTGCAAAAATGTCTTGTATTGCATAGTCATTAGGGAAGGCAATATTCTAGACATTTTTGCATGTCACATTTTTGAATGGCTGTACAATAGTTTTCACTATGTAACTTTTCAGCCCAAGTGTTTCGAAACAACCGATATGTTTCGCCCTGCACAAGTGTAATATATAAAATAATCTATATTAAATAATAGATCAGAGAGTATAATTTTCCATTTATACATACATACATTTTCAGCAGGAAAATTACACATGTAGGACATTTTTAATAAAACATTAAACAGACAAATTAAAGATATGGAGATTTGTGCCAAAATACCTCAAGTTTGGTTATATTTGGTTATAACCTGATGTTCACACAAACAAGAATTCTCATCATATTGTCTGATTGTCATTTTGTCTAATAGTTTTGTATCAAATATTCAAACTTCCTCTGCTTTCATCAGCATCCTGAGTCACTCCCAGCATTCAAACATCAGTTTTGCAACTGGCTACTTTTTGTCATGCCCTGCGTTATTCGGCAATCATACTGGGGGATCAAACCAGTGTGCACTCGTAGTACCACATATTGTAGCAGGTCTTATTTAAACTCTGTTGGCAAAGCTAGATACTAAGTATTCCACCAGTGTAAATGAATAACCCAACCTAGCCATTTTTGAGTTGGCCAATAGTCCTATGTCTGACTCTTTTTAAAAGTTATCTATTGAGAGTGTATTTTAACTTAAAAGTTATGTGATAATTTTATTTTGATACGGTGCATTGTTCTTTACTTTTTCAAGTATCTCATAGGGGTTACCCCCTCCCTCTCCTTGTCCTAGCACCATATGTAATATTAGCTCAACTACACTTTAAATTTAAAGAGCAAAAAGTCACAATTTACAGAATTTCAGCTATGTACAATGAACAAATTAAACTAGAAATAGCTCAACACAAGGAATGCTTCAAGTGGTTTCTCCAGGATCTTCTAAAAATGCAACTTATAATGACTTCTTCGGTCTCAAAATCATTCAACTCCTTCATGACCAGCATCTTTAGTACTTGGTACTGCTGTTATGACCTGCTGCAAACAAGATGCATAGCAGGCACCAACATCTGGCTGCATGCCTGATGAAACTTAGCACATTGCTCATGAGCAATGGCCTCCAGTTCAGTAATATTCTAGGGTTTGTGTGCTGCAACTACCATCTTCAAATCCCACCAGACATTCTATGGGGTTTAAATCAGGTGACTCTAATGGCCACTGTAGAATTTTTCAGGACCTCTTCTGCAATTTAAGGCTTGGTGGAATTTTAGTTATGTTTGGGATCATTGTCTTGTTGGAAGGTCCAAAGATGCCCAAGCTTTAGCTTCCTCACAGATGGCATTGCATTTTCTCCTAGGATTTCCTAATACTTCAAAGAATCCATCTTGCCTTCCACACACTACAGGTTTCCAGTGCCAGAGGATGTAAAGCAGTCACCGAGCCACCACCATGCTTAAATGTAGTGAGTGTTCTTTTCAGCGCACCGCTAATCCATTAGGTCGAAAAGTTCCAGTTTTGTTTCATCGCTCCATAGAACAGAATCCCAAAACTTCTATGGCTTATTTATATGATTTTGAGCAGATTGGAGCAAGCTTTTCTTGTGCGTTCTGGTCAGTAGGAGTGCTAGTCTTGGAGTTGACCAATACTTACTCTCTTTTAACACTTGTCTCTGACCATGTGAACAATTTCACATTAAGATTTCACAGAACAGGATTTATATGATAAATACATCTTATACAAGCATGATTATATTTCCCATATGCTTCACTTTAATACATTTTAACAAATAACATTTGTGCTATAATACACAGTAGTATTACTAAATGGGTGAATAATTGCAATATAAGGCATGCTAAAGATAGACTGTTTAAGTATAGTTAATCATGGAGAAAATTAATAGCCTTGTGAAAATAACACACAAATCTTTCACTTGGCATGCATGAAAATTGTCATTTTGCAACTGTAACATCTTTCTCAGTTCAGCATTTTTAACGTGTTTAACCCAAGTTCTTTTAAATGGTGATCAGCATATTCTGAATGACAATGTTATAAGTCAGATGGTTACAGTATGAGTAGGATGTAGGAGTTGAACAAGTAGGTTGTAGTATATGCATCCGCATCTTCATAAACATAGTACACTGTGTAACTCATTCTGTCACTTTGTGTTACAATGTAATTACACGACACCCCATTATGACATGTTTAAATAGCTAAACTAACTACTGCTGGAATTCACCCCTCCATTCGTGTTTTAATAGTTTTTCTGGGAAGCTCCCACCCTACCTTAGGAAAATGCTCTCCCCCACTGTTCCCACCTCCTATAACCTTCAATCCAGTACCAGCACTTTATTTAGCATACCGCAATACTAAAAGAAAGTGGTTCGATCCTCGTTCTCCTATAGAATACCGCAATTATGGAATAACCTTACCGACACAGTCAAATCCTCTCCCAGTCTAAAATCCTTTAAGAGTTCTCTGTCACTATACCTTTATACAGAATTCACCTGTAATCATGGCTGATTATATTTCTTATCTGTACGTGTTCTGTGTTAAATTTGTAGCTTAATATTATTTTGTATTTTTATTGTACCATATTGTAACATTGTAATGCTTGTAGACCCTGAACATACTTGAAAATGAGAGAAATCTCAATGTATTCTTCATGGTAAAATAATTTATAAATAAACAAATAAAATAAAGTGATCCTGTCAATTTTTTTCCTTGGTTTTTAATTTCCTTATGCCCCCTGTATCTTAATGGTTATACTTACTCCCTTGCCTCTAAATTTATTTTCTTCCTTGCGCCAGAAATCAATACCTGGGTGCAGCCATTTTGTTCTCCTCTGCTGATATGGCCCATTGTCAAGTTTTCTCAACTTCTATCAAAAAGGAAAAATAGTACCTATATGTCTTTATGTATTTTAGTAAAACAAAAGCTCTCAAGAAAATAAAATAAGTTATTCAGACACAGGTAATTATCTAGAAGTAGATTACATAAAGTAAATTTATGGAGCCAGATTGACTTTAATATATCTGTACATTTCACATACATGCATATGTATGCTTATTACTGTGAATACATGGGAATGTGCTTAGTTATCACATGTAGACTATATAAAAATATACTCTTCTATACTGAAAATTGACATTAGAAAATGATTCTTAAACAAATACATGATATATTAAAATTAAGGAATTCAGAACTGGAGAAAATTAAAAGGGGCACTCTCATTATCTAGGGACTTTACATAATTTTCAAAGACCCCAACATTTACATTGATGCTGGGGTCCAGCAGCTGGAGAGGGCAGCAAAGGGGAGCTCTGCTCAATAGAAACTGTCCCTCAAGTGTACAGACATGCTCTTCCAGACAGTCCTCTTCTGCTCCTGGTGCTTTAGTTGTAAGGAGCCAATGTCACTGCTCATGCGAGAGGACTTCAGAGGATCCGAGGAATTTCCCTGCAGTCATCACTG